GGCTCTGTTCTTCTTGCAGATATGGTTGTACAACTCAAGCTTTTGCGCATGTTCACTCCCCCCTTATATACTTACGATTTGGCTAAGGATTCGGAGCACGTTTGCAGGTTTGCTAAGCCCCAGTCTGACTGAGACGGCCTCACCTTGTACTGTAAAGAAACGACAGTAAGCTCAATTCTACTGTTGATCTACTCCAAGTGGGTAGTAAGTCATGCTTGGAGCCAAGCCATTCTGGATAAGGGGTGTATGTTCATGTCCATGTGCATTCAGCTATTGCGGTGCTCATTGGCCCTCGTCGACGATCTTACCTGCATTTCTTGCAGCCGTCGATTAACCCACAGGGACAGAACCAGATAAGATTTAGCGATACCGCTGGCGGTCGTCTTTTTCACTCCCTAGGAATGGGTCAAACATCTCGCTACCCATGTATACACTACGGCGCCAAGGGTCTGCAGGAGATGACGCTCTGTTTGGTTGGTAAAAATGCCGTAAAACCATGGACTGTGTTACCTTGCGTGATTGATAAGGATGATCAACATACACTTTCCCAGGTCAGACGATACGGTCGAAACCTGTGGACCAGTGAAGAGGACAGGACAAGGGCCTCGGACCCATTCGAGCTCTTAGTAGCAGTTTAGCACTTCCAAATTAAAGGACGCTCTCACAGCCATTTCATATTTACACAGGCTCCCTACTACTATGTAGCCTCTGTTCATACGGAGTTGTTCAGCCTTGGAAAAGTACTGCAGTCGATAACAAAGCCAGGTTACCTCTTAGAGCAGAAAATAGTGGACAGCTTTCGAGATCAATATTGCATGCTGTACGGAGTATATGAGACTGAGTATACGAGAGCAGGTGATGATTAAAAGAGCCATCGTGAGTGGAACGATATATGGAGTAGTTGGGATTGGCAAAAAGTCAATTTGGCCAAGATTGGTACTGTTTCAATATGACCCGATACCATACAGTTTGTCATTTACATATGTTATTTACTCTCCTGACAATACCATCTTGGCACTAAGCCGCCGGCATCAGATTAGATGGATCGATAAGATTAGACTAGAAAGGCCCGTCCTTGGCAATTAGGCCTATCTTGGTACGGACCTCACAGGATCGAGAATTGCAGGATTCAACCCCTGCAACATGTGCTAAAGCCTGTACGGAGGATGCAGTCTACGGAATACTTCCGTAGGCCTTATCTCCTATGTTATTTCATGCAAGAAATAAATGTAACGCAACCCCCACTGCCTATCTCTTACTGAGCACTAGTGTATATAGAACAAGCGTATCAGTGCTACACTCTTAGTAAAAGAGCTCTACGGATTAGTAAATTTTTGGGGTAAAGGATCCCCAGGAGTTCTGGGGATGGAGAATTGGAGTAGGTAGTGGATCCTTGAGTATAGTGGTGCCATATTACTGTACCCTTTTTAACCGCTGAAAAATCGTAAATTCGTAATGATTTGCTTATGCTTGGCAACCCTATGCCCAGGATGCCCAGAGGCTCGGCCCCGTCTATTATAGGCTGAGGTTTTTACGCGAGCGCTCGCGTGTAACGCTTTAGACTTTTTTCCATCTATATGAAATTAATTATTTGCCAGGGATCGCTGCTACCAATTACTGAAATAAGTAGACCTATCCCACCATCTAATACTGGTTCATGTAATTTTGTCTAGTGGTATCAATATAATTAGGTAGAGGTAACATGTGTAATGAGTCTGTTTTCGTTGTCGCACAGGGTTTAACAGGAATATGATTGCTGTGAGAATCAGTTAGGTTTCTGTCGAGCTAATGGCCTATGATTATGTAAATCTTTTGCACATTTTTTCTATCAGGTTGCTTAGAAAAGGCTCCTTACTTTCCTTCTTTTTCTATAATTTTCTTTTTTTTTTTTTTTGCACCGTATCCCGATGATGTCAGGCTTGAACCCGTTCGGTGAGGCTTCGGAGGCATGCTGAGTCCTGACTCTACCTGACCCGCAGTACCCGCTTGCGGCTTTTGCCGCTTTTGCGGTACAGATCGTGCGGATCAAGTCGACGTAGCGAGGTCGGTTAACTTGTGGTGGGGTCCAGTGTGTCTGTAAAATTTTTTCTGCAATGCGAACTACGGCACGTCGCATCAGACTCATGAGGATACAGGCACCGGTGCTCTTGCTGCAGGGGACCTAGAGAGTCCATTCCTAGGGTTTTCGCCCTCTGTGCTCGCCCTCTAGTCCACCATGAGGCCTCGGTAATAGACCTTGGTCCTCAATATGGTAAATGGAAAGTGTAAAATCCTTATCTCTGAAGCCCGTGCGTACTTTATCAGCCTTTCACCCTTTGCCCAGGTAGCAATCACTCGATCCCAGTGCTACCACTAGATGGGTGTACATTCGGAGGAATTTGTGGCATACAGTCTCATATAACTGCCAGGATTATGGGGCTACCATGCACAAGCTACTCAGGATATCCAGTCCTGCTTGGGTAAGGAGATAATGTTTCGTCAGTAGCTTGACTGACGGTCATGTTTACCTTACCTTGTCATCAATCACAGATGACTGTGCCCTGATTGCTCAACGTTGTGCCTTCGAATACGAGGGTTCATGTATACCTGCAGTATTGGACTCAGATCCCATTTCCTAGCTCATAATAACATTGCTCCTCTGTCACTAAAGAGACGGGGGCTTTATTTTGAAGATACACCGTTCTAGATAAAGGACTATATATCTACACGCGACACAATGTTAAGCAACAAAGTGTAGGCATTTCCGCGTCAAAAGCTGTGCGATATCACCGCCCATGATTTGTTGAATAGACACTCTTCACTCTTTGGGAATCGTTGTAACCATTACGACTTGTCGATTTACAGTATTTTAGCTGTCCACAGAACGATTCAATAACTGAACAATTTGATTCTTTTGAGCGGTGAAGTCTTATAGATCGACGTGTTCCCAAACATAAGCTAAGCCAGGACCTACAACTAACAATCTAGATGACGATAACTCCAAAATAAATCAATGCCGTTATCATCGCAAACTTAGTAGATGACCGGAGGATCCAGTGTGTGAATTACTGGCATCTCCGCCAGAAACACCAGTGCGAGTGTGTTTTGTATTTCCTCCTCACGCGTCGTATCAAGGTATGTGCGCTCCCATCTGATATTGTCTGGTGAAATCTTGGGAGTGAGTATGTTCTTGGCATAGTCATCCTTTGTCTTGGGGTTGGGAACAAACTCGCAGCCCCAAATGAGCATTTTTTTGTCTTTAGAATCCCATTGTTTCGGGATCAGTGCTATAGATTCTCCCAGATAAACGACCCCGCGGCCTTCAGGAAGTCGAAATTTGCTTGGGTAGTTTGCACGCTTCAGCAATTCGTTGCAACTCATTGTGAAAGAGTATTTGCCCTTATATTCTTCCCTGGTAAATATAATGTCTTCAGGAAACAGTTTCCGAGCCAAGAAGTTGATATCATGCACATCGGTCAAAGGTTTCAAGGCCTTCAGGCGAGCTACTGAAGTTTCGGCATTGACAGACACACGAGAGAAACAAATGCCATTTCCCTGGGACAGTCGAAATGTTCCACATACCCACGTCATCAAGCTCTTTACTGTCAGCTGAAGGTTTTGGCTCACTGAGACAATGATTCGGTCATGTAGAGCGAGAAGTAACATATATTCCCTTGATATGCATTGTACTGTAGATATGATCAGATACTGATACCGAGCAACTATTTCACTCGTTAACTCACGGTGTATGCTGCAACCAAGTATGTGTTCTTCGGGCCTGGCCAATTGGGTCAAAAGTTCCATCAGATAAACCAAACCACCACCGGCCGAATTTTCAAGTCGTTCTCTGCAAGTTGCTACATCGACATGATATCGGGTTCTCTTTAAGGTCGTTCTGTGAAGCGGTAAAGCAACCTTCTTGAGGTATTCCGGAAATTCCCACCGATAAGTGGTTGTGTAGTGCCGGCTGCTATCCCCGTCGCTTATATTTCTAAAGCTATCTAAATCTTTCAAAATGTTATTTCCTTCTGAACCGAAGCAGAGTGTAGCAAAAACGTCAGAAAGGGCTAGTGATGGGAGAGAAATAATTTACCTTCTTGACTGAGCTTGATCATTCTCAGGACAGTCGGCGCATCGGAGCAGGGTCCGAGAATCTTCACCGATGTCAGTGCTGGAGCGTCCTTTTTTTTGTCAAATTCCTTCACAACTCTAGCTAATCTATCCTTGTATTCTCCCGTCAGAAGCAGTTCCTTATACTTATCAGGGTCTATTTGATCCCCTTTGGCTTCTTCAAAGAGTGACCTGGCCTTTCCAAAGACTCTCACAGCTTCTGGTAGTGACATAGACATGATGCATAAAAAAGCTATTACACCAGTCTTGGTTGTTCGAGAATGGAAAATGAAAAGTAGTCAGATTACCTCTAGGGTTTGAGCAAAGCGATCACAATGGAAAAGTAAACAAGATCTTAGAAAGTAGAAGTCAGGAAAAGAATATATATCCATACTTTATAAGTGACTAACATCTTTTCATCACCTTCTGCAGGAGCTGTCCTGCTAATACGGGGTTCACCGAATAACTGTATGTTGAATTCCAGTTGTGACTATGCAACTTCATACTAAATCAATCACAGCTAGGAGCTTTCAGTGATATTTTTTGGTATTCCCCTGCGGCTGTTCTATTGAGTACGCCTGTCGGCATTACTCGGTGTTGATCTGAATTATTCCACCCTGAAATCGCAAGGAGCCCAGTATAGTAAGAAAAAGTGGCGATGTATGCATGCTCCCATGGAAGATACCTAGGATAGTTGTCCAACAATAAATCCAGCCGGGAATTTACCACATCGATGAAACATATGCCGCAGCGAACAAAGAACCCTCAGCCTTATCGAGGTGGGCCATTCCATGTAGTCTTTGTTTAGACGTACATCTTACTCGGCATATTCGGGAACTTGGTTCACACCTGCAACACCTTGATGAGTGTGTTTGCGCATCATCTATTATTAGTCATTGGCCTTCATACTGTCACCCAAGGACCAACAACCATCCTTTCCGGAGCATATGATGGATCCAAGATGACGTATCATCAGTAGTATCACGGGCTATCCAAATTTCCTCGAGAAGCTCAAGAGCGTGGAGGTTCGCCGGCAATCGATTCATAGAATACAAAGCGCGAAGTCGATTCCGAACATCATTTCTCAGCCTGTTATCTTCTCTTTTTAGTTCTGAGCCAGCTGTGAGAATTGGGAGAGACTGGAAGTTCAGATAATTTGAGGATGTTGGGATTTGGAGAAGATGATCGATAGTGTCTAGAGCATAACGATGGATCAAAGGTTCCAGATCAATCTCCTCGAGACACGGGTTCGTGAAGGCATCATTCCATCCGCAGATCCGATATAGCAGAATTAATCCATGCTTTCGTAGTGACTCATACAGAAGCGTCAAGGTAGGCTCGGTTGATGGTGCGCTCCACAGGTACAGCTGTTTTTCTAGTATTGTCTCTCGGGTGAACGATCGGCGTCCTGAATGGAGGAGCTGTCGACAGTATCGGCCCAGGTTCCCCAGAATGAAGATAAGGTCTGTACAGAACCCGTACATTGGATGATGCCAATGTCCAATTTGTTGCACGGCTAATGATAGGCCTGGTGTATCTAGAGCTTGTTGTTCGTCTGGATGCACGAGGTACGAACATCCCATATCCCAATACAGATACATACCCAGGCAAAGTCTAGAAAATGGATTTAGATCCCAAGGATGCGACGTATCCTCGAGCATTTTATGAATCAACGTGCGTGCGGCAAGCAGATGCCATTTCCCAAAATCAGTCATGTCCCGATCAGCTCCATGCGATAACGCCAGTAGCAACGCAGTAAGCATTGACAGGAGTGGTCGCGTCTTCCCAGTCCCTAGCTCGTTTCGGAACGATGCCAGGGCTTTCCCTCTCTCCTCGAGAGCGATGCGTGCCACTTCTGCAGAGAAATACTGTTCATGACGGGCGCTTACGGACTGGATGATATGCACCAGGGCCGGAGATTCCTGTATGTATTCCAACACAGGGAAGGAGAACGGATTGTTTTCAGGATCAATCACTAGTATTTGGCACACTCTTTCTAGCCAGTATTGCAGGAGCCGCCGATTGACGATGGTGTCCACATGCGATGAGTACCAACGCGTCTCGATTTGCCACTGCGATAGGCGAGGCGTCGAAGAGCAAATTAAACCGCGACGGACGCAGCGCAAGCATACTGGAAAAGTCTCGTCACATTTGACTCGCCTTGCTTTGCACTCTCGGCATCCTAGTTTGCTTTTAGGCCTTCGCCTTGGCGCGGTCGGCTCTTCGTCTTGAGATCGTTCTTGGCTCGTTGGGGACAAGCATTTGACCGGCTCAAAGCGTACGCGGAAGAACGACATCGTTGCAGTCGCTAGCTCTCGTCCGTGGCCTAGCTGCGTGTGGTGTTACTTGCAGGACAAGTGTCTGTGGCGAAAAGAATAAATCATCACAGCAAAACGTGGTTGCGATCGGAAACGACCTCGTCTTGGCGGCCCACAGTTGTCGATCATCTACATCGTGTTTTATGAGAAGATATATACAGTAAGAGGAAAGAATGTCTGTTCGAAACTCCCTATAATAAAATGGACAAAGTCCCCCATCACTCGTATCTCGATAAGGCACTACGCAAGCCAGGAATGAATAACACCCTGAGCAGCCTCCCACAACCAGGCATCGTGCAATTTAGCCGAATGATCAAAGCCATGCTCGCCATCCCTAACAACAAGCTGGAACCGCAAGTTACAATCAACCTCCTCAATCTTATCCCTCAGTATATAGCTCCCCTCAACAGGAACAACGGAGTCATTGCGTCCGTGAAGCACCAGAACTCCTCCTCTTGGGAACCTAGCACCTGCATCAAGTCTCTCAAGAGGATAAATTTCAATAGCATCACCCGGAAAGAACTGCCCAAAAAGCCCATGCTGACAGACCGAAAACATCAATTGAGTTCTCTTCGCATCTGTAGGTGCCGAAACGACAATCTTGTTACTAGTGGCTTCTTCTTGTTCACGGATTTGCTTAATATGACGCGCTAGGGTGTCTCGCGGTGTTGCAGGCATCGAAAACACGGCCTTTTCCGTCTGGTCGGTAAAGTGAGGGGATTTTACATCGACTAGAGGGTAGACTGCATTGACGGCCCGGATCTGTTCAGGATGGCTCAGTCCCATTTGAATGCTGAGGTAACCTCCGGCGCTATCCCCTGCCGTGAGGATGCGGTTCAGGTCTGGCTGGATGCTTCCTTGGGTGTGCTCGATTAGGAACTGTGGAAGGGATTTGTGCATCCAGTTCCAATGATCTTCGACATCTTCCAGTATATCAAAGATTGTGGCCTCTGGGAGTAGTCGATAATTTGGAGAGACAATGATGGCGGAGTACTCCTTCGAGAGCTCCAGATACCAGGGGTTAAAGAAAGGTGGGAAAAGACTGTAGCCGGCGATGAGACCACCACCATGATATCGCAAAAGGACGGGACAATTGACGGTGTTCTGTACCTTCTCCGATGGTGGCGATAAAGTCTTAGGGTAAAGAATATCCGTTGTGATTTGGTGCCCGTGTACGGTTTTGTAGGTTGTGGTGAGGATTGTGAAGTCGGAGAAGCATGATATATCACTCGATTCTAAATTGATTGCTTCCATTGTAATTGCTCTATGTGTTGGGGACAGGCCTGCCGAATTAGTAGGTATACGGTGATTTTTTCAATGAGTTAGTATCTCTCACCAATTGGAATAAGAACCTCTATATTCGATGGATTGCTAAATCCAGCAGGGGGCGGAAGAATCTCTTTTTGAAGATCTCAATAAGCATTATTAATCTTCCCCTAGCTTCCTCAGGGCTTCATCAAGTCCTCGCGTTCTGTACCAAATAGGAAGTTCAAGTGGGTCACCACATCTGCGCCACAGGCTCCAGATAGGCTCGACTTTTTATTTGTTGTACTTTTACAAGAAATAAAGGGTACAAGTTTACGTTTTTCTCCAGGGTTTAGAAGGAGATAAGTCGCTGCGGCTACCCTCCATGATATGTATTCGTTTGTGTCCATAGCTATACAGTATGCCGAACCTCTAGTAAGCAGCAGATCTGAATTTACTATTGGTGAGAACAGCTCATAGCCGAAGGTCTCCTTTACTCGGAGTAGTGAATATTTATTACTAATTAAGGAAGTGCGAAGCAGTATAAGTATGTGCCAACGAGTTATCAATAGGTGAGGTCAGGGTCTCTCTTGAACAAGAAATCAGTATCTTCCAAGAACTTCCGACCCTCCAGACATTCAGGTAGGAAGTTCACTTTCCTTCTCTTATACCCTGATTGATGTGCAATACCTTCTTCAACAATCGCTTTGGCTTCCGAACTAATAGGAAGAAGGTGATATGGAATGGACGCATCAGCAGCCCCAGGCTCCTTCAGACAAGCAAAAGCATTATTCAAGCCTCTATATGAACGAGTGCTCTTCTTCGATAAGCACAGCATAATAACCAACTGCGCCAGCGGGGCCTGTGCATCTAGTATGTCCAGCTTCTCAAGCACGGAGTATACGGAAGTTGCGTATGTCTGCAAGACATTGTTAGCAAGCCCAATGTCCTCCGATGTTGCTACAATAAGACGACGCGCGATGAATAGTGGATTTTCACCGGACTTGAGCATTCTCGCAAGGTAATACAGTGCAGCATCTGCATGACTGCCTCGGATTGACTTGTGGAAGGCCGAGATAGTGTCGTAATGTTGGTCACCCGAGCGATCGTAGTTAAGATGCATTGTGAGTGAATTTCTCAACCTTTCCCCTGTCATTCCGTCTCGTTTAGACAAGTCGTGCGCCATCTCCAGGAGATTCAGTGATAATCGACAATCCCCATCAGCGAAGCTTGACAGATATCCAAAAAATCCATCATCCAGGAGGTGGGAGTGTAAGCCCCGTTCTTCAACTACTCGGTGAAGCATATTCTGTACGTCCGCGTCTTTCGGCTTGGTGAGCGTATAAACTATACATTTGTAAACCAGTCCATGCCGAATTGTCAAAGATGGATTCTCTGTGGTAGCTCCGATCAGAGTAATGCGACCGTCCCGGATGGCATTGAGGAGTATGTCTTGCTGCGGCGTGGTAATACGGTGTATCTCATCGCAAAACACAATAGACGGTTTTCGCTCTGTGTCCACATCCTTCGAGGCCCTTGCAATGATACTTCTGTACTCTGTCATTGTCGTGATTGTGCTGCCGATCTCATAGAATCTTCTCCTCGAGACAGACCCAATAATGCGGGCGATGGTGGTCTTGCCAGTTCCCGAGCTCCCCCAGAGTATCATGTTTGGAACGTTGTCCTCTTGAACACGTTGGCGGATATTTCCATTAGACCCTACAAGGTGAGTCTGGCCGACAATATCGTCGAAGCTTCTAGGGCGAACACGCTCCGCCAACGGTGCATTGTCGGACTTGAGTGATTTGCTTGTATGTTCGGTCTTGTGATCCTCTTTCCCTTCCTCGCAGCTCTTATGCTGGCCGGATTTTCTCTTCGTGCTCTCTTTCATCCGTGGCCTGGCAGTCGGTATGGTAGGTTGGGTATTATCAAATTGTTTTTTATGATCAACAGCATCAGTGAATGAGGGTTTAGAGGGATCTGGATTTGGTACAAGAGATAGCTGGTTAGAGAATGACACCGGTTCATGGAACGCTTTGCATCCAGAATCGAGGTGGTGGTTGATTTTTGCCAGAAGAACAGTCTTTTGGCATATTGGACATTCAACCATATCTGAGTATTGTTTAGACTTTTCGTGCTCTCGTCACCGTGTGTAAGCATGCACAAGAAGGTCAGAAAGCACGTAAAGCACAACAACACGCGAAGATTATAGTAGAATTCACCCATGTAGCGATATCTACCTATTACAAAATGGCGGCAAATTCCGATCGCTCACAGCTTGGTTCAATATCAAAGACCCACTTTCTCGCATTCTGTACAAATATGGAAGGTCAAGTGGGCCCTGATGGAAACTGGATCGACCAAAAGAAAAACACAGTACCAACTATTGGATCCAGAGTAATGATGGTTGAAATCTTCAACGTACAACTACTCCACAGCATGGCCCAGCTCTCACTGGCACCAGCCAGGATGATCCGCCTCGTAAGTCACGTCGCCGTGGGATACAAACGCAATAGCCGGCGTTCTAAGTGGAAGACACCAAACACCTAGGCAGTGTTTTACAGATACAGGTTAGAAAGATGGATATTCCTTTGCCGTCCGTATCTAGTAAATATAAGAGACAGGCCAGGACTTAGCATAAGCATATAAACCTTCTTCACTCATTCCGTTCTAAATATGATCCAGCACCAATCACCAGTTATTCAAGAACTATCGAGGTTCACCACAACCCTTCAAATACTACCGTGTGTCCTATAATCGCGCCCTCAGGGATCAGCCCTTGGCCATCGTCCGCCCCCGGACAGAGGAAGAAATCTCGCAAATTGTGCAAGTATGCTCCGCCGAACGTATACGTCTCGCCATCCGCTCTGGGGGACACGATTTCTTCGGTCGCTCACTAGTCGCTGGTGGGATCGTTATTGACATGCGAGCTACAGATTCCATCATCGTCTCCCCAGATAGGGCCAGAGCACGCGTGGGCGGTGGAGTCATTGCAGGAACATTACAACAGTCTCTGGCCGCTCACCGGCTTTTCACACCAACGGGTCAATCGAAAACCGGCGGCTACGTTTCCTGGGCCTGTGGCGGCGGATTTGGATTCTATGTAGGAACATTCGAGGGCTGAACCCCCAGCTCGGGGCAATCATTTCACGCCATCTCCCAATCCACCCGCTATCAGCAGTCGTTGTCCACAACAATCATGGCAAGGGCGTAAGGAAAGAAGAGTCTCGTGATTTTAGCGCATGATTTCCTAGAAGATTCCCGCATGTCATCCTAGGGTTCCATGAGGGAACATATGCCGGTGCGGAGGTTAGCTCTGATACTACTACAGAGGCCTCTGGTTGGCAAAACAGCTGAGAAAAGAGATTGAAGAGCGTGGACTTGCGTTGGACGGGGGATTTCCGAGCTTTTTCCCGCCGAAACAGATCGAGGTGGAGCAGTTCTTTGGTACGCAAGCTGCAAAAGGCTCACGCGCTTGCAAGGCAGACTCGATCCGGTCAGGTTTTCAGTGGTGGCACGGTTAAAGATTTATGATCTCTCCCCATGATAATAGGTATCTAAAGCATGCAAGCACGACAACGCTATGTATGGCACTTGAATGGTGGAAATGGTGATAGCGGAAAAACTAGTAGATCTCCACGATGAGTCACTTTGGATGACTCTGACAGATAATCAATAGTCCAACACCAGATATTTAAGATAAGAACCCCGCTCAACACCTCTCAGCTTCAACCCCAACCCCAACCAACTCCAAGTCATAGTATACTCAAGTAAAGCACCCAGCGCACCAGCCCAAAATGCCCAGTATCAAATTCTTCTACTCCCCGGACGCCTGCTCCATCATCCCACACATCCTCCTCCATGAAACAAAGACCACTTTTGAAGCCATCCGAATCGAAATGGAAGGAACCGATCTCAGCTTCCCCGAGAGCTTCCGCAAAATCAACCCTAAAAGCCGCGTCCCTGTAATCGCCCTCGACAACGAGGTCATCACGGAAGTCCCGGCCGTCTCAACGATTATCTCTAGCCTGACACCGGAAGCACACCTCCTGGGCCGAACCCCGATCGAGACGGCCCGGGTTCATGAATGGATGAATTATGTAGCTGGGACAGTGCATGCGGGAGGTATTAGCCATGTCTTCCGGCCGGGGCGGTGGACTGTTTCGACGGAGGAGAAGGACTTGGAGATGATTAAGAGGAGAGGATTGGAGATTTTGCGGAATTGTTTTCCGTTGATTGAGGAGAGGTTAACCGGGGAGTATGCCGTTGGGGAGGACTTTACTGCTGCTGATGCGTTTTTGTATTTTGCTTATCGCTGGGGAGTCACAGCAGAGATTGACATGCAGGTGTATGCCAAATTTACGCAGTTAGCGCGAAGAGTTGAGGGAAGGGAGACGGTGCAGACAGTGCTGAGGAGCGAGAGGATTCATTCTCTCTTTTGACTCATATAGGATTTATTTGTCAAAATTCCTGTGCATATCTTTTCTCGCGCGCTCTTTGTCGATGACATGACATCCACTTCGTTGCTCCTCTTATAATCTCCAGTCACAAGTTCCTTATTAGAAGGTTTAACCATAGAATTGCAGGCAAAGAATACATACATCCTTCCCAAGAGGCTCCTAACTAGTGCCAGCCGGCTTCACAACCGTGGCATCATTATCTACTTGGTATTTGCGTTCATGGGAATGTGCTAGGAATCCCTTGTGCATATACAGAGCTGATTTCAGCCTGACAGACCATGTGATGATATATTAATAAAGTAAAAAAGGTTCCTCGGTATTAACGTCCAAATTAAAAATTAGACTATACATTACTTATGTAAAACGAAGATCCTAAAAACACGAGGCCAGAAACACCGTGCAAGATGCAAAATATCAAAACTATACAATATCTACCAGTCCGCGGCAGGGATGGGGGCATAAAATCCGAACCGGTTCTCAGGATCGTACTTCCTCTTCAACGCGGACAGCTTGCTCTGTCTCCATGGCTCATATCCATAGATGGTCTCCAGCGGCTCGTCGCCAGATGCGTAGTTCACATACACGTGCTTCTCAGCCTCGCCGCTTCCCTCGTGGAAGATATCGCGCACGCGGTCACCGAAGGCATCAGCTGCAGGCCGGGCCGTCGCATTCTCGAAGATAATGACAGAGGAGACAAGAATGGTGTCATCACGGTGAGGGTAAGCGGTGGAGGCTTCATCAATGGCCTGGACGCCTTGGTTGGAGTACCCCTCGAGCATGATGGTAGAATGTTCGAAGTCAGGGTTGGCCACGGTCTCCTCAGCGAAGGCATTGAATGCGGCGCGCAGCGCCTCCAAGTTGTAGCTCTTCAGGTTGATAGGGAAACGGACAATTTGGGGGCCTTCGGCACCCTTCTCACAGGTGCGTGAACTCATGTCGAATTCTGTCCACTTGGTAATGTTCGCGTAGGGGCCGGAATGTGTGACGGTCTTCACAGGGGCAAAGTTGAGTAGAGACACCGATACCGTTGGGTCCAAGGTTTCGACGCCCTCCTGCAGGACGAAGATGTCGATGATGGGCTAGCAATCCACGATTAGTCTCATGAGCATCTGCGACAGGGGTCGAGTGACTTACATTGACAGGATCCAGCTCCGCGTCGCGGGAAATGGTAGCCCAGTACATCACATCAACGCGCTGTCTGCCACTATCGCCGAGGATGTTAAGGTACTGGAAGAGAAGCTCCAACTTGTCTTGGGTGTAAGTATGCTTGACAAAGGACCAGACGCCATTGTTCGGGACGTCGTAGATCTTCTGGGTGACAGAGGTCACAATGCCAAAGTTGTGGCCAGCGCCCTTCATCGCCCAGAACAGGTCAGACTCGGGCCCGTCTCGCGACACGGTCCGAATCTTTCCATCAGCAGTCACGACTTCTAAGGAAACAAAGTTATCGGCAATCAGGCCATGGCGACCTTGCAGGTACCCATGGCCTCCACCGAGAGCCGGTCCGAGGAATCCAGTGCAGTCACAGACACCGGTCACTTTGAAGATGATCAGCGGATGCCCACCAGGAGGCAATTATTCATGTCAGTACTCACCGGTCTGTTTGCCGGCTGCCCACAAGGCCTCAATAACCTGGTGCGAGAGGATACCACCCCCAAAGGTGGCAGTGTCGCCTTTCTCCGAGATGTCAACCGTGTTCAGCTTGTGCAGCCAAATCTCAATTCCCTGGTGAACATTTTCCAGGCTGTCAATGTTTCCATGGGCACCACCGATGGCAATGAATGGTACATCGTGTTCGGTGGCATATTTCACCTAGTTTTCATCAGCATATGGTGACGCCCACGATGCCTGAGAGAAACCCACCGTCTCAGAAACATCATACTTGTTCGCAACCTCCACCACCACGCTGATGTTCGGCTTGCCATATTGCGACCAGCGCGCAGTAGCATTATTGAACGCATCATTTCCAGGGAAGTAAATGCTCGCACCACTTGACAGCTTCCCACCAAGCTCAGATCCAATGGCAGCATCAGATTGTTGAGCGTGACATTCCCTGAGAACTGTCGCGTAGAGAAGGCTGGACGCCCAAAACTTGAGTGACCTCGTAACCATGTTGGCGATATGTGGCAAAGCCCGTGTCGTGTCGTGTCGTGTCGTGTCGTGTTGATGCTCAGAAAAAATCTCTCGAACGGCTCGTGAAGCGCGCCATCTTTATAATGCAGCGCGCTGTCCCGAGAATGTAGGCTCAATGGTCGCTCTTCCTGCATTCGGATAGGCCAATCCGAGTTCAAAAATATGCACATCCCTTGCTGCGAGGATTGTGCATTATTGCATATCGCCCGGCATACCTCCTGAGTCAATGCTGGCTGTCTTCGGTCAATTTTCGTCTAAGATATCCTTTCCATTGCTGTTATGATGTATGCATGTCTTGTGGCATGACAGGCACAGGTTTCATAGGCGGATTGCCGCAGCTGCCATCTCACTGCTGCGGTTCTCTTGGTGTTTATTCCCTTGTTTTCGTTTTCCGTTGAGAATTCAAAACAACGCAAGCCACAGAACGCCTCCCTTCCTTCGGAATGTACCAACAACAACAAAGCCAATCACCAGATATCTACAAACTATTACATGAAGTTGGTGACTAAATATTTTGGTCCTTTCTCAACAATTGGCTTTCGGTGTCTGCTTCGCACAATTGTAATGCCAGAGGTTTGCGGAGCGCAGAGAGCACGGCCCCTTCCGCATTCCAGGCATAAAAGGGATGGCTGGGGCACAACATCCTTTTCCCGAATTCATCGACAGCTTCTATTTACTCCAGGGAAACTGGGTTTGGACTTTCAATTACCGTGAGCAGCTTCCAACTGGTAAGAGGGTGTTGGGGATCATCATTCAAGGAAGCAATCCTGACTCGGGATATTTTATTGAAAGCGAACTGTAGGCCACCAAACACTCGCACTGAAATTCTCGAGTTGATCACACGGTGCAGGGGCCTTGAATATCTCTTTACGTTTATTTTATTTGTTTTGCATGCATCAAGATTCAATTTTTCGGTCAGAGCGCATATCTCGGTTCTCTTGTCAGGGCTACTCTCCTTTCATCCGCGGAGATATGCTCATCGTAAAGGCAAAAAGTAGGGCAACAGGTCAAAACCTCTAGAACGTGGTTGGCAATTGAGTTGGGGCGTATGCCATAAGCTTCCTGAGTCGGTAAACAGACGCTGATGTATATCATGATTCATGACGCTAAAATACCCCACATCTTTATCAGCTCCATTTTTGAGTAAATATAGCTCGGCTATTGAGTTAGGGTGTGGGAGGAATATTAGTACATACAATGTAATAATCTATCTAGAAGTGGTTTCAGTATCACAAGCTCGACCCTCGAGCGGAGGCATTCCTAAGCAGAACCAAAACTTCATGCCCCTCCTCAAGCTTCTTTTCTGCGCGTGAGAGTGGTGTTAGACCCTGTGAAAATTGATAACCTGGGTCTGCACCTTGCTCAAGAAGAGTTGTAACCACCCTGCTCAGCTGGTCGCCAGACCATTCTGGCTCCCATTCATCCTCAGATTCACCTTTGTACTCCGCGAGCCAACCAACATTGAATGGTTCCACTGCATAGGAAAGCGGTGTCCTACCGTCAGCATCCTTGCAGTCTGGCTCCGTGCCCTTCTCGAGGAACATTTGGACCAGCACCGCACGCTTCACCATTGCCGCGTAGAATATGGGCGTCCTCCCAGATTCATCGCGGTTGTCAACCCGGGCGCATGCTCAAGTAGGAGCTGGATGCTAGCCTCGTACATGTCCACCATCTCGGGGGCGCCCACCAAATAGATGGCGGATAGGAGAGCCCAGAACAGGGGCGTCCGGCCCAACGTGTCTCGGCTGTCGATATCCACTCCATCTGCTTCAAGAAGCAACGGCACTATTGTTGGAGCAATACCATCACGGCAGACTTGCCATCTGATATTTGTCGCCCAGGATAGCGGAGTTCGACCGTGGCGGTCCCTGCTGTTGGGATTGGCACCCCTCGTCAGGAGCATCCGCGCCATGTCCGGTTCCTCATGATAGACAGCTCCGTGCAATGCTGTCCATTTTATCTCACCATTACTAACCTCGGTGTTGGCCCTATATTTATCGAGAAGGAGCTCGACAGCGGCCTCTCTGCCCCATCGAACAGCCAGCCAGAGTGCCGTGTAGCCGCCCTCCTCCTTGCCGTCAACATCCACGCCAAATATCCCAAGCAGTATGTCCAATATGGTAGTATACCCCCTCCATGCGGCGCCTTGCAGCCCGCTTTGAGCATCCGCGACTTTCCGGTCGTGAGTTAATCCCTCCCTCGCCAGGAGGAAGCGAACCATTGATTCATCTCCACCTTCTAGATTGCTCTCTGCAGCAAAGTGGAGCAAGCCATGGCCTTTTGCATTCACATACTCTTGTCCAGGAATCTTGTCCAGGAGCAATCTGAGCAGCGGCTCATTTGCATGTTGCGAAGCGATGGACATCGCAGTTTCACCGTTTCTATTCTCAACGTCCCATCTTGCCCCTCGCTCCAGGAGGAGCTTCGCCATCCCATCGTGCCATTTGGCAGCGTGCATGAGCGGGGTTTCGCCCCTTCCATCCGCATGGTCTAGATCGGAGACCTTGTCGAGCAATATCGTGAAAATGGACATACTATGAGCTCTAATCGCCGACGTCAATGGGGCGTAATCATCAGTAGTGTGGTTCGGGTCCGCGCCCGCATCCAGGAGAAGCTTGACCATCGCCTCATTCCCAGCTTCGATTGCGGCTATCAGCGGTGTGTGGCCCGATCTGTTCTTCCTGTTGTCTCTGCGCGGCGCTGCGAACATCAATAAGATATGGTCCGCCAGGTCCGTTGTTTCTATATCACCGCCGGCTGCGAGAAGCATCCGGACTACTTCTTTCTGGTCCTTTACCACTGCATGATGCAGGGGAGTCCGGCCCGCCCTGTCTTTCGGATCAATAGAGACCCCCTGCTGCAGGAGGAACCGGACAATTTCTTTCAGTCCCTGCTTCGCGGCAAGGAAGAGGACAGTTTCGCCTATCGCAGTCTTACAATCGACGCATCCTTCTTTTCCGTGCTGTGACAGAGCGTTGGTGGCATATAAATGCCCCAGGTATGCGTTTAGCTCGTGCAGTAAATCTTGACCGTTTTTGGAGATATCATGTGGGGTTTTCTCCTGCTCCAGTCCAGGATTATCAGAGTTCTCATCGTCATCCTTTAGCGGCTTACTCGGGAGCCGCCTGGCACTGTTGACCTGTCAGCTGTCTGCAACTGGATTACATAGCATTGACCTGCAGTTGCGAGAGTCGACTCACTCGTGCAGAATAAGTTTATATTGGTCTGGTACGTCGACCAAGTGCCGCTGCACTGCGCTAGCCAGCTCCACGATGGCATTGAGATCCTCTGCGCTGTAATCTGTGTTCATTGTGATTTCCAACTTTCAGCTTGATAGTGAGGGAAAAGAATGAGGTGGAAGTTTGGCTGATATTTGGGGGCGAGGCTACGTGTCTTACGTGGAGTTACGTGAGGGTCCATGTGACTGGGTGTTTAGTTAGGGCTATGCTATACCGATCTGTATGACTTTATCATTTTGAAGAATAAGAGGAAGAAAATTGTATGTGCGTTAACCAGAATATTCCGAGAAAACTAAAGGTGGATGCTGTAATTTGTGTGTGTATGTATGTATGGCTTCGTTGATTTGAGATTGGTTAGAGGAGTATTATGAATTTTCTCGGTGAAAAAAGGTGGACAGGACAATGGAAAAGACCACATATACATCTATGTCTGCACTTGAAAAGGAGAGAGAGATTAATTAATTGGCGGTTGGTATTTGTTTTCTCAGCCGTGTGCAGCCAAGAAAAAAACTTCAGAGAGAGAGAGCTCAAGAAAAAGAAAAACAAAAAGAAATGAGGGACGGGCCGGGTTCGAACCGGCGACCTAAAGATAGGTTGCAATATTTGGCTAACCAATTAGGTCATTGCAATCTTCCACTCTACCACTGAGCTACCGCCCCATTGGATGATAGAGCCATCTAATCCATGGTATATGTTCAAACAAACTCAAGCCTGCAAAGCTTTTTCCTTCCATTTAATTGAGACGTTTTGAGACCTCAACATGAGGCTGAGTTGATTATTTTTATTGATTATACATAATTCAGACAGGCTTTATCACTGAGGGTAGTGTAATTCTCTCTGGAATACGATATTTCTGTCGTTGGTATGTGGACTTAATTTCTTGTGGTAACGGGAAGTCAGATATATAAATTGTCCCTGCTGTAACTCTATAAAAGTTTGGATCCGCCAACACATATATTTTTGGCAGGGATTATTTCCTCTCATCCTTCTCATCCAACCCAATTATAGAGCTCGTAGTTAGTATTCAACCTTGGTCGATTGCCGCCATAGGTACCTAATTCCGTTTCCACTACGCGTCAAGATACATAGCCACTGGACAAAAACTTTATTGGGAATCTGGTATACAGCCTAAAATTACATAGATACTCATAACAATAATCCTTCTCCCAAGGAAAAGTATACATTGCCTCACCAGATGACTCAAAGATACAGACGAGATGGATTCGGGGTCTCGACCTCCTGCGACGTGAAAGTGCAGTGGTATCTGGTCTCCAATGATTCTGGACCAGCTCCATGGTACGCCGCTAAACAACCTCTGTCCAGCTCATCGGACATGCCTCGCGGTACCTCTCCCTACATCACCGGCTTCAGAGCGGCATCGCGATCACCCGGCGGGGGATGACAGGAGGCGCTGATAGCGGCGCTGCAATGCGTCGCTAGTGGCATGCGGGATTTGAGCCGTCGGGAACTCACCCCAAGAAGAGCTAATAGAGCAACAGAAGAGACGAGGAGGACAATGAAAATTGCGATGGGCGAATAGCCGCAGCCGCGAAAGGACGTTGGAGATAGTTGGTCGTGTACGTCGTATACTTGGATGTGGACGAAGAAGATGCTCTGGGACAGGAGCCAGTGCATTACGGCGGAGAAGAAAATGAGAGGGGCGCTGTAGCGATAGGGCAAACTGAGGTAGTATGTTGAGCGCTGCTCGCCTCGGGGCCAGGAGACCCGTAAAGGTTTGCGCTGGGTGGCGTAATCGTCGTACTCGGCGGCGATCCGCATGCAGGTCATGAGGCCGTTGCAGAGGAAATAGAGGATGGAGAGCACAATCTGTGGCGTGTTGCTCAGCAGCACTAGTGAGATTATGGTGGACGAGATGCTAGTGCTCTGGATCATGGTCTGGCCGGTGGCCTTTCCAAATCCGAGGGCCTATGCTTCTGGGATGGAACCATTAGCAGTGCCTAGAGCGAGCCAGAGGAGGAAAACAGAGGTTGCTAAGCAGCAAGTAAAACTAGGTTCAGATATGATTAGAGAACAAGCTGAGATGGCTGGAAGCCAGAGACTCACAAACTGAGAGTAGCTGTCCAGCGCTTGACACTGGCAGCTTGATACCATCGCTTCCTCTCTGGGAGCCTCTTGGGGTAATCCGCAGAAGAATCTGCTTCGGAAGAAGTCTCTACCAAGGGAATGTCTGCCGTACTGCCCTTAGACCGCTCTAGATAGTATCCCTTGAACCGATTAGGACTTGACCAGATCGTCACTGCGGTCCATGATTCTTGACCACGAGATACGTCTGCCCGCGACAGGAGACATTTTCCTTCAGTAGTTGGGTCTGGTGTCGTCAAAAACGAGGCGAGGGCGTCGCCGACAGTCAAGAGAATATTCTTCCTACCCGTCCGGGCTGTGAGATACATGCAGACTACCTTGATCACGTTAGATACAATTACCGCTATGGCGATAGGTGGGCTAAAAAATAATTGGCAACGTTGGTCCTTGTCTTTGGTCATGCAGCGGGAAAGCGAAACCCGTGTGGCACGATCTACACTGTCGTTAGACACAGAGGGTGGATAGACTGGGTCCTGACCCAGCTCAAACGTGAGGTTTGCTGCCCAAGAGCTATTCGCCCAGTGTGTAGGGGTCTTCAGATATGTACTCAGCGCCTGCCGGTCAGGGTTGTAGGTGGCCAGATAAACGTGAAGCGTGTCCAGGTCGTGCTCTAAGATATCATTTTTGTATTCATCATTGTCACATAGATAGTCCATATCATGGAGGGTGAAGAAGGTGCGTTTCCCAGGAAGCGTATCCGGTACGGTGAAGTTCCAAGGAAGGTACGTCCAATGCAGACCATGCACCGTCACGCTACTATCGTTTATCGCTTGCGCATCCGTGACTCCCAGTTCATCGTATATCGTTATATCTAAGGATACTGAGTAACCGATCACGCCGTGAAGACTGCCTGTGTTATGAAAGTGGTGCCGGTCGGTAGTGAAGATGAGGGTTCCAAGTTGAGTATTGAATTCCACGTTATACCTGTTTATACATTCCTTGACGCTCATGGTTTGAAAGGTGCCGTTGGAGATCTCAGCTTGAAGATCAACGGGACTGGTGCCCACCTGACGGATGAAGCTGTTTGTGTCATCCTTTCCTTCAACCAATGGCTCACTGGACGTCAAGTCCTCGGGGACCAAAACCGTAGCGTATTCAAGCATGGAGATGGAGGAGAAAACCACCGAGTTATATCTAAGCGATTAGTTATTGATGCCACGCCCTCATGCAGGGGTCTTTCTGCTCACATCATGTGGATGGGGGTTGAGCTTAGCAGCAGAAGCGTCCACAGTATCTTTCTCCTCGTGTCCATCACAGCGAAATTTCGCACGCTAAAGGTGCCAATATCGAGCCATTTGCGTTGCTTGTGGGCCTGATCGACGTCCGAACGCGACGGGGCGCCTAAGCACTGCATGACATAGTTGCTGGCCGCCAGGAGCAGGGTGCTGAGAAGGTTGATGAGCAAATGCAATCCCGTCGCCCAGTGACTTGAAACCGAACAGTTCCCATCGTATAACGCGATTGACTGGAATCGTCTCTTGTTTGACGGTTTAGAGTAGCTGATCCCCGTTGCCACAATCGCCATAACGAAGTTTAGGGCAAGGACTATGCCTGCTCCCCAGGTACAAAGCAATGCGCCCTTGATCCATTCTTCGCCCTCCTGATAATCGCGACGCGGTGCACCCGGTAAGGTAAGAGAGGTTGTTGATACGGCAGTTATCAAACTACTGGTCCCTCCGTCTTTAACCTCCCTCTCAGATACACTCCGAGATAGACTGGAGAACCTCGGTTGAGGTCGCCATGACGAGGGAAGGGCTGTCCAGGGTTGCGCTGCATCTTTGTTAATATCTTCCGCCATTAACTCAGAGCTCCCCGTTTTTGACAGGAAGGAGAAAAAGTAGCTAGGAAAACCGACTTGGGCGTGTTGGACCTCTACTCTCCTGCGTCAACCACCTCGCACCCGGTTAACGGGTCAAACTGGCCATGAAGGACCTGAAGAACGTTGTCAAAGTGAAAAAAAGTCCCCGAGGCTGAGCTTGAAGTGGGCTGGGATTTTGATCCACATACTTCTTGTCTCCTTGAGCGTCTAGCTTAATCCTGTCGCTTTTTGGCCCCCAAAGGTTTCCACATTACTTCCGATTGAGAGATTGAGGATTTATGTCACCAAAGTCGACAATATGTTAAACACAAGGAAAGATGCATGTTATTATCCTGTAGCTTTCCGTCAAAAACACATTACCCTTCCTTGTGTGCGTATATCTACGTCTTATCACCGTTGTTTGCAAGAGGTAGTGGGTATTGTGCCAAGAGACTGGACTGAGAGCGATGATCTTCGGAGGGATAGGGGTGTTACGTAGCTCCAGAGAACACTCTGCCATGTTACGTTATTTTTTCCTAGTCCCTGACAGCTATTTTCCCCTAATACGTCCCTTAAAATAGAAACTTGCTGGGGCTCCTAGACCCTTTCTATATGACGATCTACCACAGGCGGCTTTGGTTGAAGTCGAATCCCTTTGATATACAGAGTACAGTAAATTGTAATTTCACATACGCAATTCAAGATTCTAGCTTCACTTAATAAAGGATTGGACCGGATCAGAACAGTTATAAGTATAGTTAAAGTCTGAGCTAGTTCGAGCCGTTAGTATATGACCAAGACGGTAGACCTCCAACTGACCCAGACCCACTCACTCTAAGGCAGTCGCACTGAGTCCCGAGGTAGTTGGAGCTTGTGCCTGATATACGAGTATAAATACCCGAGCTGAGCTTGGTCAGATATCGCCTCGCATTCTAGGCACGACAGTCGTGCAGCCAGGACCTGGCCAACTTAGGATCAGAAAGTACCTCGTGCTACAACTATCTGCAATAGAATAAGTTCCGGAAGTACAATTTAAGATACTTAGACCATCGAGATGAAGAGGACGTAATCTGAGCGCCGAAGGATAGCATCACCTCCCTGGATTTTGTGATTTCAAAAAAAAAAAAGCTTGCCTATATAATACCGGCGGAGCTGGAGAACACCTATCTCAGGAAGAAAATCATAACCGCCAAAAAGACCGAGAAAAAACAGACAGGAAAATAAAGAGACAATGTTTCAGTGAACCGCTTGCTCATAGATCATCACCATCGTCATTATAATTCCGAAGCCCTGAGAAACCCAAACAGTCGTTAAGAAGTCACTTTTTTTCCCCCCAGAAATCGTCTTCTCATCAGTTTCTATCGCATCATTATATGCGTCTATTAGCGCACCTGTGTATTTCGTTCAGATGCTATGGTACTTTTTCATCAATTATTTACGATCGTCAGGTTGACCTTAGCTACTAGCCCGGGTCTTGGACTTGAGGTTCCAAAGAGCGTTCACGGTGGACAGGGCGCACAGAACCGCTGTGCAGATGTTAGTCTCAACCCAGCAAGGTATAAAGGGGGACAATAATAACGAACCGATTACGTAATTCATTTCATAGTAGCCGATTTGTTCGGTGAGATATCCGGACAAGATAGGGCCGATGAATGCTCCCGCAGTCCAGCTCATGCTCGAAACAGATAGCGCTCGCGAGTACCCGCCATTCGGGCCAAAGATGCCAGGATGTCTGGCTTCAATTTCGTCGACCGTGACTGATGCAAGGGAGGCATAGAGTTAGCGAACACGAAAAAGGTCCAATCGGATTCGACGCAGCATTACCTGTAGCTTCAATAGTTCCTGCACCATTGAGTAAACACGAGAAAGTGCCCACTGCAGTCACGCAGACGGCGTAGACGATTTGTCCGGTGTTGCCACCGTTCACGCCAGGGAATCGGTCGTCGCCGGGCATGCCCAGCACCCACATTATGGGCGTCAGGATGGCGAAGCTGCGGCGGTTGGGTACCGTGTGCCATAGCGATCCTTCAACCAGCCACAGAGCGGGCTCATGATGATTCCGGGACCTTGAAGAGCGGCGAACAGTAACCCTGACTCCATACTACCCCAGTCGAATGCGTCCCGAACATGAAGAGGGATGGTGGTATCAAAGCTGGAGATTAAGATAGCGAAGACAAGATAACTCATAGCACCGCAGACGAATTGCCGGTGTCGGAAGAGATATGTGTAAAAGTGCCACCCCTTTTTTTCCTCAACAAGGCTGATATTGTCCGGGAGAAGGGGATCATTCTCGGGATCCTCATCGTCGCCGCGCGGCGTACCTGTTGGTGTTCCAGGTTAGAGACCGGATATCTACTCGGTCGAATCGCGCGCAGACACTCACCTGGTTGGGACCTCGGTCGCTCGATCATCAACGCGCGGAGCACAATATCCACCACGATTATGGCAAAGGCACTGGACCATGCCAGCCAGTATCCGCCCATTTCGAACAGGATGCCAGCCGCCATGGGTCCTCCGGAGGTTCCCACAGCCACGACAAGGGAGATCATCCCGTAAGTCTTGCCCAGATGTTCCTGTTTAACATTGTCCGCGATCGTCGCGTATCCCACTGTCCAGATGAACGCACTCGCAATGGCTTGTATGAAACGACCGAAGAACAAGGTGAAAGCTATTATTGCAACCGTCAGACATAACTTTGCAACCAGACGAAACGAGCGCTTGAATGTTTGCACCACAGGAACCGCACATACTTGAAGTCGCCATAGCCAAAATAACTGTAGAGAATAATGCCGCGGCCAATGAGCCGAGTAGCAAGATCTTCTTCGAAGACATCTTATCCGCATAGTGGCCGATGAAAGGGCTACAGACGAGTGATGCGACCGCACTCAATGCTAGCAGTGCAAAGCTCATGCGCTGGGTCAGGGACACATCGAGACCGAGACGGTTTTCTAGGATGTAAGGGAGGATCGGTACAATGAAGGTATACAGGAAGACATCTGGTGGAATTGGTTTGTTAGCAAGATCTTAGTTCTGTCAACGCGCGACCAAAGCGATCGGTACCAGTGAACAGCGCCATTGCCATGGCACTGACAATGAACAACGGCGAAGACCGCCATTTGTGGCCCCATACAGACCCTCGCGAGGTGGTGAACTGCATGGTGTAATCTCGACTATACAAGAAGCCGTAGAGCACTACCCGGGAGCAACCGTTGGCGAAGGAAGGGAAAGAAAAAGGCCATCATGGATGCGGAGAACATAAATTCTTTTATCGCATCGGTGGAGAGCACCAATCGTAGCAGCAAGTAATCAATTCTCATTAGTCAACTCCGAGACCCACCATGCTCTGATACCCTATGAGTAATAATACTCTTCCGTACTACTAGTAGAGAGATCACTTTCAGCCGAGGCCAGCGGCTGTAAACATGGCCAATCCTGAATATCATGGTGATGCAGTTTGTTCAGCCATGTGTGGTGTGTGCAGGTCACTTGCAGTCCAGGTCAAGAGAGCTGAGTGGATCAACAATACTCCCAAAGCATGTTCCCTGTGGCATTGGCCCAATACGGATGGAAAAGAAGCCAGGCTGGGCTGTGACTGGATGCTTGCCTCGGCGGGTCGTCCGGATCGACAGCATTTTCGGGGCCCACTCCGTCAATTCAAGGCTTATGAACTTTCCCCTTGCAGTGATATCCCGGCTGGTCGAACAGATTCATCTCAATCCAAGGTTTCTCGAGAGACGAGAATCTGTTAAGGCACCTATTCACTACAGAGTAATTTCTGGGGACAACATGCGACGATAAGGTATGTGAGATACGGATAGCTGGTTCCAGAAAACCTCGAGGTTGTATCATCACCTAGGGCTTGAAGCGTCACGATGCAGGCACGGGACACTGATCCCTAGCAGAGGTCTTACATCCACATCCCGTCGCACCTGAGGGATTAATCTTACGCTTCATTTAAACTTGGTTAATTGATACTACACTTGCTTCGGCTCTGGCCCATCCCTTCTCTTTTTCTCATTTCAGGTTGACACAGACCGCAAGATTCTACCCCGCAAGGGGCTAAGAAGTTGCATTACCAAGGACAAGACTAACTGATACCCCGTGCACCCCGCTCATGCACATCTGCATCCTCTTCTGAATTGGCCTATATAGACAGTCTATATGATAATGCTTACCAGACTCGATAAAATCTTGATTATGGTGGCGTTCTATAGCCAGTGGAATGAACGACAATGTGGTCAACTTCAAGGTTCAGGCGCCCCCAGCCCTATTTTACCACATCTGCTTGAGAATTGATGTCGACATTCTTTCAGGTAATCGAATGAATGCTTATACAACTATGCCGAGGACGTCCACAGGAAAATTAGCAGACGGTTATTTGTTTTGGGATACAGACAAGAAATGTGCATATTGAAATAGGCCAGCAGAACGAATATAGTGCCCAATTGCATTGCCAAACCAAAGAGTAGTCGCGTTCAATAACACCTTGAACTACGAGGTATGGCGTCGTCCGCAAGAATGTCAGCAGACCAGTCACGCCATTACCCTAGGCTTATCGCTATTGAGATTACTAGTCACGTCGATCACTCCATTCCGAAGAACCCGAGGCTGACCCTCACATAAGCAGCAAATCGAGAGATAGAGATTATGTATAATTCATGGATTGCTTTTTGGGTGATCCTATTCATCCAACAGTCGAGCCGAAAGCCAAGGGAAGCCAAGGTAAAGATACTCAAACTCCCAGAGTCTATTTGCCTGGTAAGGTACAAGAATTATATCTGATCGATGATAATCTGGGATGCTCCCGCAAACAATACGCTTTTCTTAAAACATTTTGTGCCATACCTTTCCAGAATTAAGTATTATAACTAAACTACAACGGGTTTAATATGGGGAAACAACGAGAAGATGTATTACTTCACAAGTCCTGTACTTTTGTCATCGTCCACATTTCCGTAATTGCGAAGAACCCAGATCTGATAATCCGCTGTGCTCACACTATCTTTGTTTTGCAGAAAGTTAAACCTGAAACAACGTACAAGTACCTAACTGGAATCTTTATAATGCAGATAGCTCAGTATAACATTGTATTGAGTGGGCTAGACGCTTAGCTAGTGATCGAAGAGTTTCATAGCCGGGAAAAGAATCTCCCCCGATTTGGTGGGGCGTATCGACGGAAATACGGCAAAGGGGACAACCTAAACCATGCATTACCCCAGAATCTAGTACATGGGGCTATATAAAAGTGCATAGCCCCGCAGAGACCTTCGTAAGTCCAGACCATCTATAGCAGCTGTACACTTTTGCAGACTCGCCATTTGAAAGACCGTATTCGCCATTGTATTACGCATCTTCACAGCAAAACCATCTTGCACACAGCCCCACGTAAAACAAACCAACATGACCGACCAAGAAACCAAGTATATCGCTGTCCTCGGCGCAACAGGGAACCAAGGGGGTGGTGTTGTACGTGCACTTCTCGCAAAGACCGAGCCATGTTTCCATGTTCGTGCCATCACTCGCGACGTTTCTTCCCCGGCGGCACAGAGGCTACAGGCGAAGCACAAAGACAGTGGTAGGCTCGAGCTGGTCGCTGCTGATGTTTACGACAAAGAATCTCTCATCGAAGCGTTCAAAAATGCCTATGGGGTGTTTGCTCAGACGAATAACCGAATCCCCGGGAAGAAGATCGAAACCGAGCAGGATATGGATCATGAACTGGTCGCTGGGAGGAATATTATCGATGCGGCGAAGGTAGGTTAAATACCCGTATATCTATGCCAAAATCCTAGCACGATGAATGGTAGACAGAAGAACGCGAAGCTAAGGTGTGTCATGAATGTATAAGGCTTGCAATGTGCAGCACTTCGTAATGAGCAGTTTGCCCAATATAACGAACGCGAGCAATGGCCGCTTCACTAAGGTCTTCCATTTCGACAACAAACATAAGATTGAGCAGTGGGCCTGGGATGAGCTGCCCGCCGTGACGGCTTTACATCCTGGTAAGTTCGTGAATATACAAATATGTCATGTAGATGCTTATTTTATTAGGTCTGTTCTATACAAACATGCAATGGTCACAGTATTGCCAGCGTCAAGGTCAGCCTCAAAGCAAGAGTCTTCCTTTACACAAGATAGAAATGAAGCTAACGGACAAATTACTATAGACGATGGCATAGTTCGATTTTGCGCCCCAATAGACGGGAACAAACTTGCTGATTGGGTTGATCCGAGTTACGATATCGGTGTATATGCTGCAGGTGGGACAGTCTCATCGCTCACGAAGGACAACAACCATGGCTAATACAATTACAGAGATATTCTGCCTAGGACCCGAGAAAACAGCATCAAAAACGTATCCCGTTGTTGGCCCGAAACTTTCATTTGCTGACTTCGCAAGAGTGTTTAAAGAGGTCACTTCACAGGAAGCTATCTTCGATCCAATAACACTAGATGAATGGGGCGCCACTGTGGCGGCGACTGCTGGAAAAGGATATGAAGAAGATATAAGACAGATGATGGAATGGATTTCTGTGGCTCCAGATGACAAGATCTGTTATGGAACAATGGATCGGAGTGAGGATAGATCGTATGAAGACCTTGGCGTTAAGGGCAGTACTTTGGCGGATTGGATGCGCAGAGCTGCATGGCAAGGGCCACAGTAACTCTTCAACTACCTTACATGACGCGGAATTCTTTCATTGCTATCGAGAGGAACTTGGCATAATGGAGGTGGATGCATATGCAGCTTCTCCCTGCCTCACCAAAACTAAACAAAAGCATAGGGTATGATTAAACCAAACCAACCCAGAAAATACCTGACAGCCTTGCAGAGTAGATGAATATTTAAGTAGTCATAATTGGTATTTATGCTAAAAGGTGTTTGCTGGCATAAGGTCGACTGAAAGCCCAACTTGGACCAGTAGAAACAGCAGCGGAGGGCTGAGCTCGCATGAGAGCTTCATAGAGTAATATCACAGAAACGCCCATTTGCATGACATGTGCATGATATATGTAATAATCTCAGATTCTGCATTCGGCCCTTAAAGTATGCGACGAAGATGCAACCAGCGCAACTTTTCGCACCACCCTCGTCCACCAAATTAAGTATGTGGATGGTGTGGATAGTAGCGACAAAGTGTACAGTATCCTCTCCGAGTACAGAGCTGACCAGGGCCTGTAATGATGGCTTATCCCCCCCCCCCCCCAACAATGAAATAAATCTGTTTAGATCTTCGTCCGTCTCCGTGTGGCATTTTTTCCCCAATGCTTATACCCGGGATTATTACCTGAGTAGGCTGGTTAGATGGTATAACCATGTCGTCTCACGGGAGCGCTTGTTTGTGACGAAGGAATACCACGTCTCTGACAATGCCATAGCGAGGAACTGTTGGTTTATGCGGATACAGCGATCGTAGTGATAATTGCAGGAGAGCTCTTCATCCAAGCTGGACGATTTCGTCCCAAAGCCTACAGAGTCCGTCCAAGCAGGCGACATCCACCCAGGCAAAGGAATGGAGTACTTCAACAGCGTGAGTCAGCTGATATATCTGCAAGTCTAAACGGACTTTGTCGGTCAGTTGGACTAGGGTTTGGCGTTGAATCATCCCCTCTGCCGCAATAGCAGCCACCGTGGCACACCATAGAAGCAGCGTACTAGACATATTCTGGCTAACATGATGAAGTTTCTCGGTGAGCTGCGGGACAATCATGGCTCGGGGTGCAGAAGACTTCGGAACGGGAAATGTGACATGGAGCGCGTATAGTAGGGCAGAGAGCCTGCAAGCATGATATAGCTCGAGAGACAGAGAGTTATCACCAGGACCATTCGGTTGTTCGATAACGCAATCGGGCGAGTCATGCTCGTTCGGTAGGCTAAACAAATCGTGATGCACTTGATTCCGAACGTCTGCAATGAGATCGAGGGTCGAAGTCGCCAGGTCGTGATTGGAAAATAATTGAATTATATTCGAATATTCACCTAAGTGAACGAATACATACGCGATCTTTTCTCTCACGGGTGGCGCAAGCGATAAAAGCTCTTGGAATCCCGATCCAGGAAGAGACGCCCGTTCTGGTGAGATGCGAAAGGCGTGTAACGGTGAAGGCAGGTTGTACATATTTCCCTGTACGTCTATCAAGGGATATTGAGGCTTGGTCAAGGAGTGGGCGGAGAACATTAGGTCTGCGCTGCAAGATTCAAGATCAGCTATTTGTAAGGAACATAGTTTGGAACGAGCCGAGGTAAACAGTAAACCTACATTGACAGCAGCCAGCCTAGTCCAAATAGCCTGATGGAGTGGATCCCTCCAAGGCGTTTTAGGAGGGTCTGGATGAATGTCCAGTGCATATCATGGTATTCTCTGCTACCGTAAAAAGATAGAGACTGTAAGTTCACAAAAGGAGGCGTAAACGGACTCGCGTCTCGCGCTACCTTTCCTTTAACGAGATCATTAACAGCAAGGTATAGAACAGACATGATAACGCTGTCACGCCATGTCTCATCTGTGTACTCTGCCACATGGCTGTGCAGCGTGCTCAAGACAAGGCCCTTGTAGTACAGTTGCTCTTTGGTCTCTAACGCCGGATCAGGGGCACCGTAGCTAATCCGTAATACATCTCTGTGATAGGACGCGGACCACAAGGTGCTATAAATTAAGAGCTTATTTTGAGACGATTGCTGGATCCAAGCCTGATAACAACTCCCGGCATAGTTCGATTGCCGAAATGCCGGCCAGATGGAGGTCAAAGCTACGTGTAGGTCAGTCAGCAGGAATAATCGCAGGTGGCCAGTGCAATAGCACAGAGTAATAAAGACTTCCAAGCCACTAACCGAAATGCACTAGGCTGTCAACTTGCGGTCCCCAGCTCGCATCTAGTGGGGAGAATGGGTCCATCCTTCCACTCACAGCTGACAAGGCCGAGGGAGTCTCTTTAGTCTTTTGGTTGCCATTGGTCCTCAAATTGTCGAGGGACAGCGGCCTACTGCAGGTCCCACAAACTGTAGCTCCATCGCTAGTGACGAGGAACGTTGGACTACTGTGGATCGTTTGAGTTTGGTCGGAACCAGAGCCCTGGGATTTTCTACGACAGAGGCAAAGCTGCTTGAATGCATGCTGATGATCTCCCTGCCCCTTTCTCTGGTCAATCAACCTTTCCCTCCTGGCAGCTTCCTCACGGCGATAGTTTGTTTGCTTTTCGGAGATACCTCGTTTCATTAGAGCTGACCTAATCTTTCGCGAATGTGCGTTGGAACCGCTAGCCAACGTAGGGCCATTGACGAAGACGAATTCTTGTGGTTTGTTGCCCATATTCGACACTACTCCTGAGACCCACTAACCCCCAGGTGCTGACCTCCGACGTGTGTATACCAACCTGTACCGAATCTGTAGCCGACGCTGATGGCGGCGCTGAAACGACAGTCCAAGTTGTCTTAGCTTCACTTTAGCCAACCCAGATAAAATGCGGTCCAATAGGAGCCGAGGAACACACTTCCACTTTGGGTCTAGCTCATATTCGATGCTGGCCCTCGAGGCTCGGATATACGGAGTAAGTCGAGTATCCAACAGAATACGATCTATTCTCTTGGTTGCCCCGATTATTTTCCGATCTATTTACGTACTACATGACTCGGCGGATGGCTATTGAGCGGTAAGAATTCACCAAGATTGACAAATGGTGGAGAAGCCGATATAAGTTCAATTCAGTCGCCCTTATAATAACCACAAAGACCTTGCAGCCCACAGAATTCATTATTCTACAGCTTCGATTCCTTCATCTTGGTCATCATGGCAACAATTAATATGCATTAATATTTCAGGGGCTCTCGGAGCCGTCTTTAACTGCGATAGAACGCGTTGAGTCTGATCCTCTCTCCTCAAAAAGTGCTACCAGAGTCTGCATCACGATTGAGCGCCTGAGGCTCTGCATGTCTACCTGAGAGCAAGGGCCAGAGGGCGAAGTGGGAGAAGAAGAAGAGCTGGCGGTCGAAGATGATGACCGACAACCTGCGGTCCGCTCATCTTGCTGCGCCATCTCCGACATTACACGCAGCACATCCTTCCACCGTTTCCTCATTATCCCTAGTTCCGTCTTCAATCGCTCATTCTCCCCCTCTATCCTGTGATTCTCCGTCCTTAACAGGTGGAATAAATCCGACAACCGCTTGTTTTCTGTTCGAAGCACGTCCATCTTGACCTGTGTTTGAACTCTCTCCTGCTCCCTCCGTTCCCGGAATCGACGCTGGGCTTCGCGATTTTGGGATTGTCGTCGGTTAATAGTCTATGACACCGAAGTTAGCGCCTTTGCTGAAAAGCCAGTTTTGCTTTGGATAGCGGATCTTCGGCCACTTGTCACCCACACTAGATATTCGATGCCCGCTATGATCGATATGCTGTGAGTCGACCCCTACGGTACCCATCATTGCAGAATCCAGTGGATTCATGGTGATGCAGGCAGTCGCTTCCGGTGGTGAAAGGCTTGAGGATGGAGAAATCGATATCGAATGCAGAAGCGCGGATGTGTTTCCATTGACCATGGTTGGGATATATCGCATATCCTCCGTCAACAGGGAATGTGGGTGGTAATGGGAGTCACGGTTATGATGGTGGTGCGACATGGGCTCATCCCACTGCAGCACCCCGATCTCCGCATCATAATCCGGCTCTGTCTCTTGCCGCGGACGCAGATCCCCTGCGGAAGTTGTGGAAGAATTCATACTGAAGAAAGAACGCACTTTAAGACAATGGATCGGTGAGATGAGACGCGAGATCCCCCGCGTTGACGGGGATGCATCACATTATATACACAACCATGTGAAGACCCTTCGGGACCTCGAGAATGAGATGGGACAAGCCTCACCACAGTTGCGTCAAGCTATCCCAGCAGCCGCCTCTCGTCGGAACCGGATTGATTGGCAGATTTTGGGGATCCAAAGCAGTCCGGTCCATGTAGGCCTTGGAGCTAGCCCTAATCTGGGAGTGACTTGCTAGACGCTGATTCGACGGAACATTCGCTAGATCAGATAAGGCCAATACCAGTGATTGACCTAACCCTAAATTTAGACTAGGACTCCACTTGCCTGTCTCTGAATAATTTTCGCTGTCTGACAGATATCAATCTGGAGTTAATTTCTCTTGGTAGGAAGGGGGTGCCCCACCAAACAACCCATCATCTGTAACCGTGAGACCATTTTCCCAGAACGGAAGTGCAGGGCAGCATTTAAGTGGACAGCCATGAGCTATACCAAGCCTCAAATATAGGGACGGGACCGAGCCGCCGGTGCATCACTAACTACCATGCGTGTGGTTCTTATCAGCCAGTCAGAAGACTATTGCCAAGACCATGCGGAGGGACCTGCTCATGCAGTGAGCAATATCTGCTGTAGGCAATTTAAACGAGCAAATTACTGCACAGGTCGAGCACTTGTTGGCAGGGAAGAAAAGGTACTACTACTGGAAAATGCACGTGGACCTCGTCGACCCGCTTGTTTGAACATATAATATCCCATCCAACGTCCTGACTCAGCACTAATCTTTCGCAAGATCGCCCGAGCAATTAAGCTCGTCTCAAGGATACACTTGACCTGTTGAACCAAGGTCCCAAGCCTCCAGGGGTGCCACGTTAAGGCCACTCCAAACGGCCCCCACGAGCGGCCCGGAGCCCTGTCCTTCGGCAATTTCCCGACGAGTCGCTTATTATTGCGATTCTGGGAGGCAGTGCCAGAGAGTGCATGGTCCTTGCAGTGACTAGTTTTAGATCCTTTGTGGCTAGGTCGATGGCATGCTGCGTGATGGTGGTCCAGTACTCTGTACTTTTGGCAGGTCTTCGAGCAAATTCCTCTAGAAGCTTAGTACCGGCAGATTTGCCTTGGGGCTTTTCGTAGTAGCGAGTTGGGAACACTTGATTTACTTTCTACCTTATTTTTCTTTTCGTTTTCTTTTTCATTGTATTTTTCTTTTTTTATTAAAAACAAAATCTAAAGTATGAGCTTTGAATGTTAACTTCTTTATTATACCAGCTGGACTCAGCAATGGATTTATGGTCCAGGACTCAGTCTCTGCATCTGAGCTATTCCTTTTCTACCACAACACGCTCTCTTGTTTTACACCGTGAAAGGCAATTCGCAACATCGGGATCTGGTCTGACACTATGTTCATCGAGCTGACCTCCGCGTGGCGATTACCTTCGACAACCTTGTAGATCACAGACCCAAACCTAGGGATCGAAAGACGTTGGCTGGAGGAGTCCAAGACATCCACTAAGCCACTGGCCCCAGGGATCAGCGATTGTAGTGGGCCACTGCTTGCCGAACCCACAATGGCCACTGGTCTTCTTGATTTGTCCGTTTATTGAAGAACAGTGGATTAAGTCAAGCAACGGTAACCCAGTCACCTGGACCTTACAGGGTAGAAGTTCCTGGCGCTGAAGGCGTGACAAATATAATAGTCTAGATCAGAAACTTCCCGGATTTTATTTACACAACCTCTGTTTAAACTAGACTTTTATCGCCGGACTTTACCAATTCCAACAATCATGTCAGCCTGTTGATTGCCACCTTTTATTGCTAGGCTAGACTCAAACAGGAAGGCGATTCCTGGCTTCTCTTGATTAGTGGTGAAATAAACTTCCTTCTCTTCTTCTTTTTTGCTGTATATCCCTAGGGTCTACATCTCGAGCAGCTTGGGCAAGGGACCGTTCCGTCCCAATCCCCCCCCCCACCTACATATAAGAACCTTTACCCGGGGATCCGACTTCAATCAAAACCACAACTACACTCCCTACACTATACTCACATATACCGGATAATGTTTTCTTTGTAGAACCCTTCCCGGCCCATGCATTCTGCCAGCGAGATCATTAACACGTCCCATAATCTAGTTGTAACTAAGAACTAAAAGAACTAGATTATTCTCGACAGTGCTCAAGACATGGGCATATATATGCACATTAACATATTCATGTTCTGAATGAATACAGAATTATTATTCATCATCCTCTGGTATATTCGAAATTCATAAACTCATACAAGCCAGGCTTCATCAAGAAATTAAAAGACATAGAGAAGAAATGACACCAGTGAACAAAATGCCTCCCGCTAAAGCAACTTCACAGCAATGTCTCTGTATGCGCCACAATTCTCCATTCGCCATCCGACGCTTGGCTCCATGTTGTCGATCCCGTGGCCTTGTACTCCTCCTTTCCTCTCGAGGCATTGATATTGTAGGTAACGGTTCCCGCCATGAGATCAATGATGATGACTCGGACTTCCTTCAATTCGAACGCATCGAAATGATGGAACGGTGGCTTTAGTGTTTGTTGTAGAGAAGGCTCACCGTCCAACGTCAAGATGGGTGTTTTGGGGAACAGTAGATTGGCTTCGGGGTTGGACAGTTTCTCGATCTCGGGGCCTGGGTCGGCGGAGGTGAGAGCGGTCCACAGACTTCGCTCTTTAATAAGGAGATCCTGGCGGATGCGTTCGTGAATAGGAGCCATTGCAGCTGATCTAACCGTTAATATCTACTGCAGACACAAAGGATGGATGTCTGTACTCACCTTGATGACGTTAAGCCCTTTCTACTCCGGCGTATGATGTGATGTTGCAGGGTGAGATGCTTTTCGCTTACACCTCGCGGAGTCTAGTGAATTTGCTGGTGTTCTCTCTGGACTCTTTAGACAGGAATATACCCCTGAGATGTAAACAGAAAGTAGGTTGGGAGGGTCCATGGGTGATATAGGTCGCAACCCTTGGAAGCCCTCTGATGGCGGACGGGTGACGTCATCCGCCCGAGCACACGTGGATGACGTGTGATGCATCTGCCCTACTTTGCAGATCGACGCAGCCAGAGATGTCATTGCTTTCGGTCATGCGATGGCACTTCTTGGCTTGTACTACTTGCGTGGCCTCTACTGCCACTATATATGGTTATCTACAATTGGGGGTGGATCCTGGAAGGCTCCGGAATCTGACGCATGCTATGCATGAGAACGTTGTCTTTTCGATCAGATGTACTAGTCTAGTGCGATCGAAATCTGTTCATCGTTATGTGTGTATGTATTATCTTAATGGTGTGTTAATTTGGATAATAGGTCAAGAATAGGCTTACTGCGTGCAGGCAGCACCTTGTGAATAGATATGACGCAGCCAACAAACCCCAAGCATGTCCCGGTGAGGTATATCTCGTGCAGCATTTTTATATCTAGAACCATTTGTAAAATGAAAAGCAATGCCTGAGATATATTCATTAGCTGCGGCATGTAGCGGTGATGTTGATACATGATGTGGCCGCATTGACACTTGGTCCGGCTGATGGCTCTCTGGAATCTTTCTCCGAAACAGTAGAATAAGCTGCCCCCCAGAGGAGAGTGTCTCTATGACTATGAGTAGGATGGTTTAGAATATGATAACGTCCCGATACGATGTGAAGTGTTCTATGATGATGTGGACAAATTGACAGATGGGGCTCTGGGGGCTTTACATTATCCTCTAGGCGTACCACTATACGGGCTTCATAGGTAAGGGTGTCAGGCTCAGGATATGCTGTATGCAAAACTGACCAAACTGGATGAAGTCCTCGATGTTGTCCATATTACCCTAACTTCTGGTATCGGTTCGCATTGACTGCTGATTTGCCAAGGAGAGGAATAGTATTGACGTGATACCCATCACGGCTCAAGAATAAGCTAAAAAGGCTAGACCTTTCGCTGTCCCTCATGCACTAAACCGCTGCAGGGCTTGGTCTTGAATGGCGTTGCGACCCGAGATAAACGGTTGAAATCAACGCGGGATAAGAGACGAGGCCAAGCTTCTGTCTCAATTTCTTATCTTTGACCAATGCGGGAATATGATTATCCGAGAAGTTCAAAGTTCAACACCATATTTTCGTCTTTGAGCTGGTCATCCAGAAGTCGGAAGGGGGAAGAGCATGGACAGGGTTGAGATTAAAACCAATGCTTCAATTGACAACAGTGTTTTGTCAACAACAATGAATGGGTCTTTTACTGAATTCTAGCCCATTGAAGTCTATCCGCGGCCTCCGAAGAAATTTCTCGAAGTCGGCGCAAATGTGGGCCAGATACATTCTCGGAACGAACCCTATAGCAACACAAGCATGCTTTTACGTTTCGAATCCTCTATCTCGGATCCCAAAAGCGCGCCATGTTACTCTACAATCCAGCACAGACAAGTGTGCTCTACTCTACGCTGAGAATATGCATTATCTCTTACAAATTTGGCCCATTGCAGTGGGGAGCGTCAATATATCGTAGTAACCAAGTAACGTCATTTCCGTGGAAGTTGTCGAGCTGAGCACCGATAAAGGACCTTATGAGAGATATCATTGGCCTGTTCTCGCGATTTTTGCAGACTAATCCCCGCTACCAGTGCTGATCTTTCCTGATAAGGGTATTTTGATAGGTTAGTTTATCTCTCTCGGCACTGATCGGCGGTTGTTGATGGATACAAGGCAAGGAGGAAAAAGTAAAAAATGAAATTGGGAA